CTTCATCTGGATATATCTGATATTAAAATTGGAAAAAATATATTATTATAAAGGGAAATTACAAACATATTTCACTTATAAATGAGGATGCGATATCCTAAACAACCTATTAACAAGTTGAATTAAAAAATAATGTTCAAGTAATGTACTTTGGTCAAAATTAAATCCAATTTATGTGAGAATTAGTCACTATTTTTTCTTTTTTTTCTTTTCTTCTCCTTTCTCTCACTCCCTCCCACCTTCTCTGTCTGCTCTCCACTTCCCCCATCCCCACCATGTCATTAATTGTCATTAATTGTCATTAATTGTCCTCATATCAAAATTGAATAGATAGGATTCATGCTTCTTCATTCCTGTGATGCTTCAGTAAGCATACTGTGTTCCACCTCCCTTCAAGTTAATACATATGCTGCAAAATCTCCATTTTTTTAACAGCTGAATAGTATTCCATGGTATACATAGCTTGCCAATCCATTCCTGGGTTGAGGGGCATTTAGGCTGTTTCCACACTTTAGCGATTATAAATTGAGCTGTGATAAACAGTCTAGTATAAAGTGTCTTTATAATAAAAGGTTTTTATTCCTTATTTGCCTAGTAATGGGATTGCAGGATCAAACAGGAGGTCTAGGCTGAGTTCTTTGAGGTTTCTCCATACTTCTTTCCAAAAAGGTTGTATTAGTTTGTAGTCCCACCAGGAGTGTAAAAGTGTTTCTTTCTCTCCACATCTGCACCACATCTGCAGTTTTGAAATTTTCTGATATGGGCCATTCTCACTGTGGTTAGATGATATCTCGGGGTGGTTTTAATTTGCATTTCTCTAATAATTAGGGATGATTGAACATTTTTTCATATTTGCTAGCCATCTGTCTGTCTTCTTTAGAGAGGGTTCTGTTCATCTCCATTGACGTATGAGATTGTTGGCTTTTTTCATGTGGATTAATTTAAGTTCTCTATAGATCCTAATTATTAAGCTTTTGTCTGATTCAAAATATGCAAATATCTTTTCCCATTGGGTAGTTTGTCTGTTTGCTTTGGTTGTTGTCTCCTTAATTGTACAGAAGCTTTTCAGTTTAATTAAATCCCATTTGTTTATTTTAGTTGTTGTTGCAATTGCCATGGTAGTCTTCTTCATAAAGTCTTTCCCTGGGCTGATACCTTCCCAGTGTTTTTCCTATGCTTTCTTTGAGGATTTTTATCATTTTGTGCCTTAAATTTAAGTCCTTTATCCATTTAGAATCAACTTTTGTGAGTGGAGAAAGATGCGGGTCCTGTATCAGTCTTTTACGTGTGGATATCCAGTTCTCCCAGCACCATTTATTGAACAGGGATTCTTTCCCTACTGGAGGTTCTTGTTTGGTTTAGCGAAGATTAGGTAGTTGTAAGTTGCTGGTTTCATTTCCAGGTTTTCTATTCGATTCCAAATGTCTATGTCTCTATTTTTGTGCCAGTACCATGCTGTCTTGACCACTACGGCCTTGTAATGCAGCCTAAAATCTGGTATAGTGATGCCCCCAGCTTTATTTTTATTACTAAAAACTGCCTTAGCTATACAGGGTTTTTTCTGGTTCCATACAAAATGCAGAATCATTTTTTCCAAGTCTTGAAAATAGGATAAAGTCTTCTGCTATTTCCTTTCTTAGGGTTTCATAATTTTCTTTATAGAATTCCTTCACCTCTTTTGTTAGGTATATTTCTAGGTATTTCATTTACTTTGGTGCTATGGTGAAGGGAGTTGTGTCCTTAATCAGCCTCTCATGTTGGCTGTTGTTGGCATATACAAAGGCAACTGACTTGTGGACATTGATTTTATATCCTGAGACATCGCTGTATTTTTTGATGATCTCCAAGAGTCTTGTGGTTGTGTCTTTGGGGTTCTCTAAGTATAAGATCATATCAGCAGAGAGGGAGAGTTAGACCTCTGCTCCCATTTGGATGCCCTTTATTTTCTCATCTTGCCTGATTGTATTAGCTAGAACTTCTAGCACTATGTCGAATAGTAATGGTGACGGAGGACGACCTTGTCTGGTTCCAGTTCTAAGTGGAAAAGCTTTCAGTTTAACTCCATTCAGGAAAACAATAGCTGTGGGTTTGTCATAGATAGCTTCAATCAGTTTAAGAAATGTAAAATGCCTTTTTTATCAATCTCAAGAGTACATACTATCAACATCACTCTACTTTGGTGTAATCTTGATTGCCTAGCTGAGATAGTGTGTTTGTCATGTTTTTCCACTGTTAATTTACTGTGTTTACTGTCTCATACTATAGTCTTTGGAAGGATACCCATATTCAAGGGATAAAGAGTTATGCTTTACCTCCTGGAGGGCTGAATATCTGAATAAGTTATTTGGATTTCTTATGCATAGGTGATTTGTCTCTTCTCCTCATTTATTTATTTAGTAAGATAATCATTTTTATCAATGGCTTATAGGTTTTTATAGTTTGAATTATAATTTTATATTCCTTGAATCTGTTGCTCATATTGTTCCAGCTTTTGGTCATAGGGGTCTCTGTATGCTTCCAGTATGCCTTTGACGTGCCCCAGTAAATATTTTGGTTTTGTTTGATTTTTAAGCACTTCTTTACTTCTGGCACTATAAAATGCTCCATGTTTATCTTGTATGAGACCCAGTCCTAGAAACAACCATTTCTCCAGGATGTCCTGGTTCTTCTTATTGGAAAATTATATTAGAAACCAAGATATAGGAGTTAGATGTTTCTTTTGCTACTGGGATGTTCTTGATCTGATCAGCTGACAGAGCAAGGAAATATGTGTTCATACAAATCTATGTCTATGCGCATATCTGTAAATATTTCTGTGTGTAACCATCTTCATCTAAGTTAAACATGAATTCATAATTATGTTTCCACCTCTAATCCATTACTACATGGATCATTCTAGCTTTCTTCCCTTAGTTATCTATAAACTGTTACTTAAACATTGAGAAACCTGCCTCTTACCATCTGCCTCTATTTATTTCTTCCATTCTAGTATACATTTATAGCAGTATCAGAATTATTAAGCCACTATGCTCGTGGGGAATCATTTTATCAACTAGATTACAATGCTCTTGTACATTTTCTTCACCTTTATCTTACAGATTCTACTCATTTCCAAACTTTTAAAACAAAGTTATATTCTAAAATATTCTTCTGCCCTGACTTTTGAGAATAAATATCAAAGATATATTTTTTTCTTTTTTTACATAAAAAGGAAGCTTTATTTACAGGGGAATGGGAATTCTTCTGCCTTCTACTAAACAGGTTCCCATGTATCCACTTCTGAATCCACTCTGTTCACTAATCTTTATTGAATGTTAAATGTTCTGTTCATATGGGCATTGCCAGTAAATAGGGTTGTATAAACTGTTGACCAGTACGTAAGATTTACTAACATGTTGTGACATATGTGTGTGCATATGATAATCTATTAAGAGCTTACTATGTGCCAATAAGCGAGATGAAAACTTTTAATCCCTGTAATTCCATCAGATTATTATTATATTCATTTTACAGTTGAGAACTCAAGTTGAGTTAAAATAATTTGTTCAAATTTATACATTTAATAACTAGTATAGTTGGGATTTAAACTCATTTGGTATGACTCCAAAGTGTGTACTCCTATCCAGTATATATATTGCCTTGGAATTATTAACATTTGCAGTTAGATAATTCTTTAGGGAGCTATCCTGTGCAGGGTGTTTAGCAGCTTTCCTAGCCTCCAGCTGTGACAACAAAACTATCTCCTAACATTGCCAGATCTCCCTGGTTGAGAAGTACTGGCCTAGAGGCTTTTAATAAAAAAAATGACCCCTGAATAACAAATTGGGTCTGGACTGGGAGAACTATAAATCACATAGCAAGCTATATCTGGAATTCCGTGAATATAGAGACCCCTGTAATTTATCAGGCTCTTTGGGGTAACCCTAAAAGCTATGGTCAGTTATTATAAGAGATATGGTGGGAAAGCTTTTCAGTCAGAGTGCTTCCTGCATCACTTAGATGAGTTTACTATCCCTGAGCTCAAGCTATACTCTGCAAAGACTCCTACTGAAGAAAAATACCTATTACTTTTCTGTGTTTTTTGCCTTGTGAGTGAACTGTTGTTAAATGTGACTTACAGTTAGTCTGTAAGTCTAAATGTTTAGTCATGCCTAAACCCCGCTAGCAGGCATTGCATACTGGTCTGTAATAAGCCCTAAAAAATGGTAGCTTAACTGTTGTAGTCTAGGAACATACTTTTTGATTCATGCCTAATAATGAAATAGTTCCTGGATATTATCCCAGTATATTTTTAATAATTGTCTCTAATTTCTAGTGCTATTGCCAGTTTTGCTCATTTTATAGAACATTACTGGTATTTTAATGAGAACTTTGAAAAAGGTTTTTTTAGGTATACCTAGTCAGAAGGCTTATAATAGCCTGAATATCCTATCTGAAAATTTGCTTAGTTTTAAAGCAAAAATGATTTATTCACTGATACAGAAGAAATATATTTACAGTTACATTATGAAATTTTTTAAATCAAATGACTGTTTCCTTTGTCATTTGTTTTAGGATATCTATTTGTGTTTCTGTCTTTTGGGGGACACGTTGGGAGGAAAGGAGAATATTTTTCTGTGCTAAGAAAGGAAAGCAAAACTAGAAGGAATTCATATTTATTTTTCTTAGGTAATTTTAAGATTAGTTACAAGATTAATTAAAGATTAATTAGGTAATTTAAGATTAAATCTGATTGATTAAATAATATAATTATACTATTTTAACTTTTAACACTATGGTCATAGATATTACTGTGGGTTATATTTCTTCTTTTTTCAGTCTCTCCGGTAGCTGAATATTGGTTTTGTGTCTGAAGCTCCTGGAACTTTTCTCCTTATTGTGATAGAACTTGTCTCAAATTATACTGCCTGTAGTACACAGGTGCTTAGTGCAAGCCTAAGAATTGTTGGAATCCTCTAGTAAGACACATTTAAACTACAGTGGGAGTTCTACCTAGGAAGATGCAGCTTCTGGACAAATTGATGGCCTTCTCTAAACCTCAGAACCTGGCTCTAAATGAAATAAGTGAGGTTCTGGGGACAAATGTGTCTTGGCAGCAAGAAACCATTCCCATGATGAAGACTTATGACTCTGAAGCATCTCGTCAAAAGTTCAGACATTTCCAGTATTCGGAAGTGTCTGGGCCCTATAAAGCCCTGAGCCACCTCTGGGAGCTCTGTCTTCAGTGGCTAAGACCAGAGATTCATACAAAGAAACAGATCCTAGAACTGTTGGTGCTAGAACAATTCCTGGCAGTCCTCCCTGAAGAAGTCAGGTTTTGGGTGAATTTACAACATCCAAAGAACAGCAAAGAAGTGGTGAGCCTCATAGAAGATGTGATTGAAATGCTTAAAGATGAAGGTGAGAGCATAGAAAATTAGAATAGTAGACCCTTTCTATGTGAAAAGAAATTACCTACTTCTGAAGCTAGAGAATATAAGTGCCAGATCATGAAGGACTTTATATTATTCTATTAGGAAGCCTGAAATTTATCCTATGGTTAATAAAAATAGAGAATTAGAGCCTCATAGATTGAGTAAGGGAGTAACATTGATTTCCCTTTGAAAAATATTATGTTGGCATCAGTGTAGAATAGGACTTGGCAAAATAATGGCCCACAGGCCAAATATTTTTGGAAATAACAGTGGAACATAGCCACATGTATTCATTATCATTACGTCTGTTGCTACAACCAGAGTTGAGCAGCTGTAGCAGAGAATTGCCTGCAAAGCTTAAAATAGTCACTATCTGGACCTTCATAGAAAAAGTTTACTGATTTCTATGGGAAAGAGAATCCTGAGGGTTCTGAAAACAGACAAACCAATTAAGAGACTATTGAAATAGGTTAAGTGTTAGAGAATGAGTTTTAGGAAAACAGAGGGTTTGAACTGAAAGGAATTATTGACTAGATAAGGCATGAATAGGATAAGTCTTTTTTTTTTTAATCTGAGTAGGATAAGTCTTGACCTAAATTCACATATACTGACTTGAATAAGTGGAATGTAAGTAGCAAATTTTGTGGAGGTGGGTACATTAATTATGTGGAATGCTAAATCTAAAGTGTCTGTGAGACTTCCACAATGAATAAACCAATATATAGTTAACAGTCTGGTTTTAGTGTTCAAAAAGAAGATGTGGATGCTTACAGGCATGAGCAGAAGTAGGAAACATACAAAACATTAGCATCAGTATTTAAGAGCTGCTCTAGATCTACCTACCAGTTACAAGAAATAGAGGATAGAGGAACATATTAAGTTAGACCATAGTAACACCTTTCATAACATTCAAACTGTAGAAACATAAGACAATCCAGTTTCTAAGGAAGCAGTGAAGGGTGTGGCAGAGGGATTTAGAATCATGTGAATGTGTGGTGGACCTTATAAGACATAAGTCAATTGGATATTTGATAAGGAATTATTGATTTGGGACAGTGATTATGTTAATATTATTGTTATATTCATTCCTTATCTTAGAAAATATAAAATGAGCTGAGCAAAAGAGAAGGAGGCTAGAAAGGCATAATCTAGAAGTCAAAGAATCAGGAAAGATAGGTATCTGAGCTAAGAGAACTATTTAAGGAGGGAGTATTCAATAGCAGTACAACAAAAAGGTCCTATTAAGATGAGTATTGAAAATAATGTATTGAAATTGTTCATGAAGGAATTTGTAGGCTTTCTTTAAAAAGTTTCGGAGAAGTTGAGGGGACCCTTATTTGTAATGGATTGTGTTCATTTTCTATTGCTCCTTTAACAAATTGTCATAAACATTTGTCAGAGGTATGCTCCAACGTATTTAGTACCTCTGCAAAGATTGGGTGATGTTTTTAGATTTCAGTATTGCAGCATTTAAGGAAATCTCTGGAGTCACTTACTGACCACTAAGCTAAGAAAACTGAGACTTAACTGGGCACACACCAAAGAATATAGACTTTACAAAATTAATTCTTAAAAGTCATTAAATGAGCAAGAATCATAATAATCAGAGCCCCAAAATATATGAAGGAAAAATAGGTGAAAGAGAAATTGATCAAGAGTAATAGTTGGAGACTTCACCTCACTTTTGTTAACAAATAGAAATATTTTATAAAAGACTAAAAAGAAAGTAGAAGACTTGAAAAACACTACAGGCCATCTTAATCTAACAGATATACACAGCTCTCTACCCAACAACAGAATACATTCTCAGATACATAGGGAACATTCTCCAGGATAGACCAAATATTATACCAGAAAACAAGTATTAATACATTTAAATCTATTGAAATAATGAAATATCTTTTTTTTTTTCAGACAGAGTCTCACTTTGTTTTCATGGTAGAGTGCCATGGCGCTACAGCTCACAGCAATCTCCAGCTCTTGGGCTTAGGCAATTCTCTTGCCTCAGCCTCCCGAGTAGCTGGGACCACAGGCACCCACTACAATGCCCGGCTATTTTCTGTTGCAGTTTGGCTGGGGCTAGGTTTGAACCCACCATCCTTGGTATAGGGGGCCGGTGCCCTACTCACTAAGCCACAGGCACTACCCAAAATAATGAAATATCTTCCAACTACAACAGAATGAAATTAGAAATCAATGTCAGAAATCCGGAAAATGCACAAATATGTGGAAATTAAATAATAAACAGTAGATTAAAGAAGAAATCACAAGGGAATTAGAAAACACTTTGAGAGTAATGGGAACAAAAACACAACATACCAAAACTTAAGAGCAATCTCAAATAACTTTAAGGAATTATAAAAAGAAAAGCAAACTGAACACAAAGCAAGCTGAGAGAAGAAAATAATAAATCTTAGAGCAAAGGTAAATGAAATGGAGACTAGAAAAACAATACAATCAAAACCAAAAGTGAGTCTGTTGAAAAAACAAAATTGACAAAGATTTAGCTATATTTAACCAAGAGAAAAAGAGGACTCAAATTACTAAAATAAGGAAAAATGAGGATTCTACTACTGACATTGCATAAGTAAAAAACATTGTAAAAATACTATGAATGTTGTGTGCCAACAAATTAGATAATTTAGTTGAAATACATATTTCCTAAAACTACTAAACTACTAAAACTGATTCAAGAAGAAACAGAAAATCTGAACTCACCTGACAAAAGACAGAATCATTAATCAAAAAAACTTTCAAGAAAGAAAACCAAAAAACAATATGGTTCACTGTTGAATTCTACTAAACATTTAAAGAAATAACCCCAATCTTAAACTTTTTTTTTTAATTGTTGAGGATTCATTGAGGGTACAAAGAACCAGGTTACATTGATTGTATTTGTTAGGTAAAATCCCTCTTATGGTTGGGTCCTGCCCCATAAAGGTGTGTCACACACTGACACCCACCCCTAGCCCTCTCTCTCCTTCCCTCTCTCTGCACTCCCCTTCCCCTACACCATACCACATACTAGGTCATCATCCTCATATTAGAATTGAGTGCATAGGATTCTTGATTCTCCATTCTTGTGATGCTTTACTAAGAATAATGTGATCTACCTCCATCCAGGTTAATACAAAAGATGTAAAGTCTCCATCTTTTTTAATGGCCGAATAGTATTATACCACAGCTTGTTAATCCATTCCTGGGTTGGTGGGCATTTAGGCTATTTCCACATTTTGGCCATTGTAAATTGAGCTGTGATGAACAGTCTAGTGCAAGTGTTCTTATAGTAAAATGATTTTGTTTCTTCTGGGTTGATGCCCAGTAATGGGATTGTGGGATCAAATGGGAAGTCTAGGCTGAGTTCTTTGAGGTTTCTCCATACTTCCTTCCAAAAGGGTTGTATTAGTTTGCAGTCCTACCAGCATTGTAAAAATGTTCCTTCTCTCCACATCCACGCCAGCATTTGTAATTTTGAGAGTTTATGATGTGGGCCTTTCTTACTGAGGTGAAATCTCAGAGTGGTTTTGATATGCATTTCTCTGATGATTAGGGAGGACGAGCATTTTTTCATGTTTGTTAGCCATTCATCTGTCTTCTTTAAAGAAGGTTCTAATCATCTATCTCTCTTGCCCAATTGATAGAAGGGAATGTTGGCTTTTTCATGTTGATTAATTTGAGCTCTCTGTGGATTCTAGTTATCAAGCTTTTGTCTGATTTATAATATGCAAATATCTTCTCACATTCTGATGGTTGTCTATTTGCTTTGGTTGTTGTCTCCTTAGCTGTACCGAAACTTTTTAATTTAATAAGTCCCATTTGTTTATTTGTTACTGTTGCAGTTGCTGTGAAAGTGTTCTTCATAAAGTCTTTCCCCAGGCCGATATCTTCAAGCACTTTTCCCATGCCTTCTTTGAAGATTTTTATGGTTTCATGCCTTAAATTTAGGTCTTTAATCCATCTTGAATCAATTTTAGTGAGTGGAGAAAGGTGGGGAGAAAGGGTCCAGTTTCAGTCTTTTAAATGGGGATATCCTGTTCTCCCAGCACCATTAATTGAATAGGGATTCTTTTCCCCTGTGTATGTTCTTGCTATTAATATACCTAACAAAAGAGGTGAAGGACCTCTATTGTCAGGGTCCAGCCCTGAAAGCAGTGTCTGCTAAGACCTGTGGAAATGGGTGGCGATCCACTGAAGAAATATAAAATGAGGAGCAAAAAAAAAAAAAGACAAGAGACATAGCCTCATGTACTCTTTCTGTATCTCTTCCCTAAAGAATATAGACAATAATTGAAGCTATAGAAATAGAGCCACACA